CTATTCCTTTTCCTTCCCTGGCTCCTTCTTCTCCTTCTTCTCCTCATCTATCTATACCTCCAACCTTCTCTGTCTACTTTTCCTCCTCCTTATCTTCTCCTTTTCCTTCTTCCCCTTCTCACCTATCTTCTCCCTTCTCCTTTCTTGCTCCTCCTGCTCCTCCTCCATCCCATCTCCTTCTTCCCCTTTTTTCTTTTTCTCCTCTTCCTCCATCCATCTTCTTCTCCTTCTCCATTTTTCCCCATCCCTTCTTTTCTTTCTCTTTCTCCTTCTCCATCCCATCTCCTTTCCCTTCTCCATCTCCTCCTTCTCCTCCTTCTTTTTCTCCTCTTCCTCCTTCTCCACCACTTTTTTCCTCCTCCATCCCTTCTTCTTTTCTTTCTCTTTCTCCTTCTCCGCCCATCTCCTCTTTCTTCTCTCCATACCTTCTTCTTTTCTTTCTTTCTTTCTCCTCCTCCTCCTTCTCCTCCTTCTCCTCCTTCTCCCTTTTCTCCTCCTCCTCCATCCCATCTGTTTCCTTCTCCATCTTGTCCCTCTCCATCCCTTCTTTTCTTTTTCATCTTCCTTCTCTTCCTCATCCCTTCTTCTTCTTCTCATTTTCCCTTCCCTTCTTCTCCTCTTCCTTCCTCCTCCTTTTCTCCTCCTCCTCCACCCCGTCTCTGTTTCCTTCTCCTTCTTCTCCCTCTCCATCCCTTCTTTTCTTTTTCATCTTCCTTCTCCTCCCCCGTCCCTTCTCCTTTTCCTTCCCCCCTCCCCCATTCTCCTCCTTCTCCCTTCCTACACCTCCAGATTCCCTTGGGTAAGTATCCCGACCGTCATTTCACCGAGAAGGCTCCCCTCGAACTCATCACAACCTTCCAAGCCCATCTGCACAAGATTTCCAACGAAATTAAGGAGAGGAATAAATCGCTCGTCAAGAAGGAGCCCCTCACCAAACAGGACCCGTCTCTTCTCGTCGCTTACAAATATCTCGATCCCGCTGAGATGGAGAATAGTGTCAGCATTTAAACAGGGGACTTAAATTGTTCCTTTCTCTGGAAGAATTTAAGCCATATAGTAAGCAGGGAGCTTCAACTTTCTATCTTGTGTTAACGGATACAACAATGTGTTACAAAAATGGAGGTTCTCCATCATCCAGGTGCGTTTTTTTCAAAAAGCAATTGGACTTTCTGTTTTGTTTTGTTTTTCCTTTGAAGAGGTTTTGCTTTTCGTCCAAGAAGTTTCTTCAGTTCCGAAGAACTGATCTCCTTTGCACTAAAGAACTGAAGAAGCTTCTCGGAATAGAAGCAAAACCTCTTCAAAGAAAAAAGTCCAGTTGCCTCTTAAAAAAATAAAATAAAAGCACCTTTGGGTGTTAGAAAGATGCAAGCGAAAGTTGATTAAATTGTAAGAGCTAGTGGGAAATACAGGTGGTCCTGGACTTACGACCACAATCGAGGCCCAAATTCCCATTGCTAAGCAAGACAGTTAAGTGGTTTTGCCTCGTTTTACCACCTTTCTTGCCATGGTTGTTAAGTGAATCACTGCAGTCGTTAAGTCAGTCACACAGTTGTTAAGTGAATCTGGCTTCCTCCACTGACTTTGCCTGTTGGAAGGTTGCCACAAGATGCTGGGATAGTGCAACCGTCGTAAATACAAGTCAGTTGCCAAGGGTCCAAATTTTGATCCTGGAACCACGGGAAGGCTGCCACAGTCATAAGTGTGAAAAAATGATCATAATTCACTTTTGTTCACTGTTGTAACTTTGAACAGTCACTAAATGAATGGTCATAAGTCGAGGAGTACCTGTATAGCAGTTTGCACAATGCAAGGGCAGCTGTCTTATTTTTGTAACCCATCCTGTTTTCAAACCTCTTTTAAAAAAATAGTTTATTTGTGCATTTTCATTTAACGTACATAAGTGCTTAGTAAAAAGTGTACTGTGTGGGTTGAATGTTTACATAATAAAAGATTTCCTAGCTCCTAATTTCTGCCTCTATTATCCAAATCCTATATTTGAAAATACTCAGTATGTTCCTTTTCTTTTATCTTTAATGTCGGTCTATCTATTTCTGTGCAATCTAATACTTTTTTTAAAAAAAATTACAGAATCTTCTCTCTGTGTTTCCTCATTTTTCTAATACTGTGCAAACACCCAGGGGTGGGATTCTACCGGTTCAGACCAGTTTGGATGAACCGGGTGTTAAATGTCAAAGCCTGAAATTGACATATGTGTAGCCATTTTATTTAGCCTTATGATATACTCCTTTTCTTTATTTCTCTTTGCTGGTTATGCGGGGGAGGGTTTCGGGCTTGCCGCATTCCTAAGGTGGGAAGAGTGGAGATAGAGAAAATTGTTTAGGCTAGATGGTTCTTCTTCCCGTGGGAACAAAAGCTGACCCTGCTGAGACCTGGAGGTGGAGATTGAAGACCCCAGGCAACGTTGATTTACTTCCATTGGGGAATGTGGCTTTGCGGGGCTGTTTCTAATTTCCAACGTTATGCGGCATAATCCCGGATTGTGTCCGATGCAGAATTACAACGGACTTTTTGCCAATTTTGATGCTTTCCTAAATAAAAGAAATCGTTTCGGAAGATGAAACTTGGCTCTTTTATTTTTAAATGGATTTCATCGTCGGGAAACCTGACATTATTCCAGGTTTACATCTGGTTCGTGGGACTAGTAGTTGAACCCACCGGCTGGCCCCACCCACCCTGCCCCTCCCCTCCCAGGAATCGCCACGCGACCTGTTTCGGATACAGGTAAGCGTAGGAGGCTCTGGGAGGCGAAAAATGGGTCTTCTGGAAGTCTGGAAGTGGGCCTCTTTCCAGCTTCTGGAGGGCTTCCAGAGCCTAGGGGAGGCCATTTTTGCCCTCCCAGAGGCCCGAGGAAAGCCTCTGGAGCCCGGGAATGGCAAAAAATGCCCCTCTAAGAAGTTCTGGTAGGCCACACCCACCCAGCAACCAGGCAGCGAACCGGTTACTACGGTTTTTGAATCCCGCCCCTGAAAATACCATTCTTGCTGCTGTCAAAACATACAATATACAAATTCCTCTTATTATATTTTTCTGGTATTATCCCTAACAAAAATATTTCTGGCTTATAATCTATGTGCAGCTTTAACATATTTTTTTTCTGTGAATGTATTTTTATCCAATACTTCTTTGCTAAACACACGTCCGCCACATGTACACAGTGTCTGATTACATTTCCAACAGGTTCACACCTGTTGCTTGTTGCTTAATTATAAATACAGACAGTCCTAGACTTCCTTAATAAATTAAAAGTCAGTTATATCTATGCCTAATTAAACCTACACCTTCTGCCAATAAAATACCAATACTTTCCTATCATTGAAGCTTTATCTAATTAAGTTCATGGCTTGAGTTCCTGGCTTGAGTTCAGAAGTAGATTTACCAATGAGAACAATTCCAGATAGGTGAGTTCAGGATCGCAGCCAGGCAGAGAAGTATGGAAATATATGGACTGTGAGTTTTAATCATGGGTATCTCTCTTTGTTTTGAATAAAATCTCTCTATATAAAAGCGAAATACCACTCATGCATCATCACAAAATCTCCAGAAGCATAAAGCCTACAAATTTGAAATTTAGCATTTATGTTCCTTTTGGCTTCTAGGTAATCACTAAGAAAGGATTTTTCAAAATGACCATCAAAGCATTAGTATTTTGTATATTATTATTATTATTGCTGTTGTTGTTGTTGTTGTTGTACACAGTATACACAGCAGATGAGATAACCATGCTGGGTTTTGTATCACAAATCACTAGTCGAACCCTTCCCAAGTGTTTAGGACTGTGTGATGTATCGGCGGATCATGCGAGCAGATCCCTGTAAGGTGGCCTTCTGCAGCTGATCAATGGTGATCTGGTCAGCGCCAATTGTTTTCAAGACCTTGCCTAGGTCTTTAGGTACAGCAGCACCCAGTGTGCCCAGTACCACTGGAACCACCTGCACTGGTTTATGCCAGAGTCTCCGCGGTTCGATTCTCAAGTCCTGATATCTGGTGACTTTTGCAAGTTGTTTCTCGTCGATTCTGCTATCACCAGGTATGGCAATGTCGATGATCCACACTTTTTTCTTCTCCACAGTTGTGATATCCGGGATACAAACTTTGTCAGTCTGTATTAGGAAGTAGTAGTAGTTTTGCTACTACAGTAGTTTTGCACGCTCATTTTCACTTTTTCAGGCTTATGATCCCACCAGTTCTTTGCTACAGGCAGATGGTAGTTGTGACGCAAGTTCCAGTGGACCATCTGAGCGACTGTGTTGCGACGTTGTTTGTAGTCAGTCTGAGCTATTGTCTTGCAACAGCTCAGTATGTGATTGATGGTTTCATCCGCTTCTTTGCAGAGTCTGCATTTGTGGTCATCAGCAGATTTTTCTATTCTGGCTTTGATTACATTCATTCTGATGACTTGTTCTTGGGCTGCAAGAATCAGGCCTTCTGTTTCTTTCTTCAGTGTTCCCTTGGTCAGCCATAAACAGGTTTTTTCCTTATCTACTTTTATTTGGATCTTTTCAAGGAACTGTCCATGCAGTGCTTTGCTACACCAGCTGTCAGCCCGAGTTTGCATCACTGTTTTCCTACATCGATCCTTGGTTTGCTGCACTTTGAGTAGCTTCCTCTTGTTGACCTCCATCAAAGCTGGTTCAAGACTGTCTTTCACATAATCTGCCAGAACACGCTTCTCTTCTTCGACTGTCTGCTTCACTTGCAAAAGTCCTCTGCTGCCTGCTTTTCTGGGCAAATATAGCCTGTCGACGTCACTACGCTGATGCAGCACATATTATTATTATTATTATTATTATTATTATTATTATTATTATTATTA